AGGGAGGAGAACCCCAGGAGGAGAAGGGCCGGGGGAGTGTGAGGGGTGTGTGAGGTGCCCCCCGGCCCGGCTGCCTTTGGCAGGCTGCTGGGCTGTGCTTCGCTTGAGGTACAGCCAGGCTTGGCCTCGGGCTGCCATTTAAAAGAGCCCCGGCGGGGCGGCGAGGTGAGCTGTGGAGATGCGTGGGAGGCCGGCGTTTGTATCCTGAAGCTTTTGGCCTGTCTGGTCCCTCTTGCTGGAAATCGTTTTCATTCGAGTGGGGTTTACCGAGGCCCGTGAAAGAAACTGGGAGAGAAACAACAGCTGCTTTCAGCTGTTTCGTTTTGTGTGGTTTTGGGTGTTTTTTTTTTTTTAAGCTGGTGTAAGTTCAGGCTTATCAGCAGAAGAGATGTGAGCCCCAACTATGTTTTCCTTCTGCCCCCAGAGCTGCATCGGTACTGATGTGGACATGTGAGTCAGACTGGAGAAATACTCTGGCTGAAAACTAGCTACAGATAGCTTTTAACATAAGGAGTTAGGACTAGGACTATCTGGTATAGTTACCAGATTCATTATCATGTCCTGCTGCATTCGATATAGCCAAGTTTGCAAACTCTTTCCAGATCGGAGCATTTATTTATTCTTTTAAGAGTAGTTAATATAGGCAAGTGTTAAATTTAGTTTTGGTTTGGTAGCACGTAGACTTAAAATCTTAGTGTCTAAAAGCACGTTGTTAATGACATTTTAGCTCTGACAGAAATGATATTAGGAAATACACTTTTGTAAAAATTGGACTGGGTTAATTTTATTTCCTGATTGTTGTGCCCTTGGATTCCCACCGCCCCCGCCCTCCCCGCAATCCAAACTTAATTTAAAAATGGATTACAGTTTGTAAGTCTCTTTTAAGCATTGTTAGTCCAAAAACTAATTGGCTCTACCTTTTAAAAGTGGTTACTGACGTGGGTAAGATTTTTATCTGTAAGGAGTAGCTAATTTAAATGATTGCAGCAGCAGGAGGTATTAACCGTACCTTGCAGAAATGTTATGCAATAGAAGACATCACTGGCTTGAAAGAAAAATGAACCAAAACATCAGTTGCACTGGATTCAGCAATTCATTCCCATATTAAATGAACGAAGATATTACAAATCTGCCTGGAGCTTATCTGTTAGCTCATTCCCTAATCAGCAGGGGAACATAAACTTATGCCAATTAAAGTACATTTCTGTAGGATATTTGGAACACGACAGATAATGGCCCAAAAGATGCTGCTGAGTGACCAACATCCACCCATCAGATGCCATACATAACAAAGAATAATTCACCGTTTTGAAAAATGTTTTTGTAGACACCAGACATTTGCTGATGTCTCACGTTGTAGGTCCTGCCTTCATGCAGAGAAGTCCTGTCTGGAGTCTTGCTCTGTTCTCTGTACTGGGACGGGTGCAGGCTTAGCTATTCTCTGACGTGGGAATGAACTGGCACGGCCACGTCCACCCGATGGAACGCTCAGGCCTTAGAGGAGGATGGCTGTATGAAAAACTGCCTTTTGCCAGTAGACACGGAACAGGCAAACTCCCGAATTGTGCAGGACAATAGTTGGTCCAGGGCAAAACTGTTAGAAGAATTGCTACTGTTGTAGGAGGATAGGAGCCGGCAAGGTAGAGAGGATAACACAGATGACACACAGTCCTTCTGTAGTGTAATTTCCTTGAAGAGCTGTAACCTTTGTGTTTTCTACAGTCAATGATTTTTTAAGCAAGCTCTTTGTGTGATGTCCCATCGCTGTTCTGAGCAAAGCTCTCTTCTCTTACTAACTCAGGTGGAAAATAAGGCTGAAGGAAATGCTGCCTTATTTATTATTATGTACTAGATTCATTACCTTCTTTGCTGATACTGAACTTTTCCTCTCTCTTTGCTTTTACTAGTCTGCCAACGTTCTTTGTGTCAGACTCCAGTATACTACATGGAGAGGATCAGCTGCTGTTTCAGAGTGAGCGCTGTCAGCTAAAGAGCAGAAAAGCACAGAGAGACTTTTGATTGGTATTAGATAAGTATTAGTCTACGATTAGTTTTTCTAGACTGAAGGATGATTATGAGAGCAAGAGGACATCTTATTTTCAAACACCTGGAGCTCTTATGCAAGCTTCTTTGAGAAAATACTTTAAAATTTAACTTAAACTTTTTATAGCAAGTGTTTCACAACATTGTATGCTGCCGTGGTAGTATTTGATACAGTCCCCTGCCTGGAAGACATCCTGTTTCAGTTCGTAAATTAAAATGAAGGGCAGGCTGAGTCAACAGTCATCGTCTTTGTTTTCTTTCAGAAAATGTCAGCTTACTGTTCAAGTTGTACTGCCTCACAGTGATGACCCTGGTCGCTGCAACGTACACGGTCGCATTGCGGTACACAAGGACAGTGGAGACAGAACTCTACTTTTCAACGACAGCTGTGTGCATTACTGAAGTTATCAAGTTGTTCTTGAGCGTGGGCATCTTGGCTAAGTAAGTATGAAATGCTAATTGGTATTGTGAAAACAAATCCCAGCTTCTAACCTCAAATTCTGAGATGCTGAAGTACAGATACATTTGAGGATGTGTGGGCAGCTAGTCATGCTGTGGAAGAGTCGTTTTAGAGTGGGTTAGTGTTTGTGAGTCCTCAACTGAAACTGCTTTGTAAACACCACAATGTTCAGGTGTGTCCTTTCTGCATATTTTCTATTTTTGTATGCTTTGGAATAGGTTCAAAATGTCAGCATGGATTATTTGCGATGGTTTGGGTCTTTAAAATAGTGACATAGATGAAAGCTGGATGTGAGCCATCTTTTGCTGAGTTATATACAATTGTAATGTTCCTACACATAAATTTTCCCAAACGGTGTTAGAGACAGACACTCTACTATCTGTGTTCACCTGGGGGATCAAAGCTGAAAGGATGTGTGATCAGAAAATATTAGTTTCTGTAACTCCAGACTGCTGCTAAGAGCTAGAACTTCAGTCTGCACGTGAGCATCTGAAGTAGGGAGGCTGTCAGTCTGCTGTCTTTCCTCTCAGCTTCCCTGTGCTACATCCGTCCTTGAAAGAATCTTCATATTCTGAACTCTTCCAAAGCCCAGTTCTTGCTGTTGTGGTAGAATTTGTTCTTTTAGGATCTCTGTCTATCTCTTTGTGGCAACTATTGAAAGTTTGCTTTTGGATATCGTATATACTTGAGTATAATCAGCAAAATTTGCCAATTTTCTGATAATCTCCCATTTTCGGTCACTTATGATTTTATGCGGTTCTGCATCTAGTGTAATTAACCATGTCGAGCTGTAGCACGAACTCATTCCCTTTCCTTGTATTGCCAACTTTGCTTTAAGTACTACTTGTCTATTGGTTTTCATGTCAATGGCTGTTCCTTGTGGCCAGACATGCCTTGCAAAAGGCGCTGATGTGACATTCTCGGTGTCACTGGGAATCCAGTTAGGAAAGAGCTTTGCATGTGACCTTACTTGTACAGCAAGAGTATGGGAAACCATACTCGCCTCTGCTTGGTAACGGTACTGCCCCTGACTGTTTTTTTTTTTGCGTGCTCTCTGTTATGGGAAAATGACAAAAAATGCCTTGCTGCTGCCTGTGTAAAGACTGCTCTCATGACAAATGAAAAAAAAAAAAGGGAGAAAAGGAGGTATATGCTTGGTGCCAGGCAGGGAGGAAGGAAAGGGAGGAGAGAAGCTTGGGTGGATAATTCAGAGGATGGAGTCCATAAATCTCTGGGGAGGAGAAGTTTTAAGAACTTGGAGCAGAGAGTCAGGGGTTGATCAGGAACAGAAAATATGCAGGAACAAGGTAGGTAATGAAGGAGCCTGGGGCACAGAGAGATTGCTAATTTTGGTAATTGCTAATTAGAGTTTGAGGCAGGTAGATGATGTACGTTTGTGAGTAAGAAAGAAGTTGGGACGTGGGTGAAATACGGAGAATTGGGCTCCTGGAGTGCTGAGAAGGATGTGAGCCATTTGTCATATGCATGTGTAAGGGAAGCAAAAGGAGTGTTAAATTCAAGAGCGATACAGGTTGCAAGTAGAGAGGCCTGTGGGAGGGAACAAGAGTGATTTTGGATGTTGGTATCTGTCAGTGGCCAAGCGAGAAGAGAATGGAAAGGGGGAGCACGGGACTTGAGGAGAGCTGGGAAGGGAACTGGAGGACTTGAGTAGCAGCGACAAGTAAGCAAGAAATGTCAGATTGATGTACAAATGCTAAGGGAGAACTAGCAATGCAGAGGTCAGCTGTAATAAGCTGAGGAGCAAGCCACAAAAGCAGATAGCAGCAAGAAGCAACACGTTCTTCCCCATTGCCCGCTCTCGCGCATTCTTTAATTACGTGAAGGAGATGTGTGAAGATGCGAGGAGACAGGGAGCTGCCACACGCCCCACCAGACATCCTCACATGTGTGCTGGTGCTGGTCCAGCGTCTCCCGCAGCACAGGCGAGAAGAGGAACCCTGGGCTGGCTGAGGAATGAGAGGTGTTTCCAGCTCAGTAGTGTGCAAGGGTACACTCTTTTTTGGCAGTTCTGTGAGGTCCAGTTTACAGGGGATCTGGAAAATCACAGGCATTCGACATCACACACAAATATTAATAGCAAAAAAAAAAAAAAGGGACACACACACACAACAACAGCCTTCTGTACCACTGCCTGTATAATTAGCAACTTATTCCACTGTTTACAGTGTTCATGTTTAATTGTGTTGTTTAATTTGTTACACATTAATGCATCTAACCTCCTGATTCCAGAATGTCTTCTTCACCTTCAGGGGTTTCGACTTGTTGAAAACCTCACTGTTTTTTCCCAGTGAATTTTTCTTCAGTGAGCAGAAGGTACAACTGATTGTTGAGAACAAATTTTCAGCCTTCCCAAAGGATTCATTGATTTGATTTCTGTTTTCAAATACCAGTTTAAGAGAGCCTTCAGTTATATTAATATTTTATTTTGCAGAGAAACTGGAAGTCTGGCAAGGTTAATAACATCATTAAAAGAAAATGTATTCGGAAGTCCTACAGAATTGCTAAAATTAAGCGTTCCATCTTTGGTGTACGCTCTCCAAAACAATATGGCATTTGTGGCTCTTAGTAACTTGGATGCAGCAGTCTACCAGGTAATACATGGTTTTGTCAGTGACTGATCTGTAAATACATTTCTTCTTACTGTTTCACGAGACAGGCGTGCTAGGTGTCTGTCTGCGGAGCACACAGTACTCTCTTTAGCCTCAGTGTTAAAAGCCAAATGATGCTTTGTTATATTCAGAGCATACACTGTGTTGTAGAGCTCTAGTTTTCTGAGCTAACCCACTCACTGCTAGAGTCACTTCAAATTCACTTTGTTGTAGCTGGCGATTGTACAAACGCAAGGATCTGTAGGAAACCAAGGAATATAAAATTTTATTTGTCATTCTGTAGTTGAAGTCTCTATTTTATTTTCTTCTTTCGGAGGAGTTTATAAAACCTCATCCTCTGTGCTTCTATTCCCATCTTCTTTAGGTGACGTACCAGCTGAAGATCCCTTGTACAGCTTTGTGTACAGTCCTAATGCTAAACCGTACCCTTAGTAAGTTGCAGTGGTTCTCTGTCTTCATGCTGTGTGGTGGTGTTACCCTTGTTCAGTGGAAGCCTGCTCAGGCTACCAAAGTACAGGTAAGAGTTTACATTTTGCCACTTCGTGACGAAGAATAAACTGCCTTATACTTTGTATTTCGCTTCGCAGCAGCCGGGATTAAGGGCAGGTCTCTTACCTTCCATACAGCAGCACCCGTTTGCTATTTCCAGACACTTCACCTACAACATAAACACCAGTTTGATGGTTCGCTTTCACATTTATTGTATACCAGTTCAGGCAGGCTTGCGGTATTGCTCTGGTCTCACTTGTTGGAAAGGCACCTGATTGCTACAATTAGTATAAATTACCACAGTTGTCATAATCAGTCTACTGCACCATCATAGGAGTATCTGAGTCATGTATTGTTTCCAGCGGTTGGCCCTCGTAGCATTGTAGTTGTTGGAGCAGAGAACTTGGAATCGAAGCCCTTGATGGAATTAGGAGTGAAACTCCAATGCCTTGTGGGTGTGGGTATGTCATTTAAACACACCCTTCAGCGGCACTGACCTAAGCCTGTTCTAGGAAGAAACAAGTCTCTTCTGTTTCTTAGGTCTTAGCTGCTGGTCAGCGGCATTAGTGGGAAAGGCAGGTCACGCTGCTGGGAAGACTGGTCACAGCCCAGTAGACGGTGCCTCTGAGCACTGCAGGGGTTGGTAAGAGTACACATGGAAAGTGAAACGCCACACAGCTCCACCAAGCCAATCTGAAGGGTAGCTCTAGCTAAGCAAGTACATTTTATACTGTAATGAAATGCTAATAATTTGGCTGTACTTAACAAAGTAGCTCTGGAATTGATTATTGTAAATTACTGAAGCGTTGCATCCTTTTTACAATAACGGTTGATGTTGCAGGTGGAGCAGAATCCATGGCTAGGGTTTGGAGCCATTGCTGTTGCTGTATTATGTTCAGGATTTGCAGGTATAGTATTATTTCTGTATGCAGGTCACATCAAAAGGACTGGAGAACTCAAGATGTTTAAAATAGAACATTCTACATTAGTTAACTGTCTGTGATTATAAGATAAAAAAGGACTTTATCCCCTCTGCCCATAATTACCTTCTACTTGCAGGGATTATGACAGATGATTAATCCAGTGGTCAAGCAAATGACTGGGACCACATACTATTGGTTTTACATGATGCAACTTAGAAGGCCGGTTTGCCAGTGGAAGTGTCTTTTAAATGCTTAGAGTAATACTGTGGGGAACATTCACAATGACTCACTCAGTACAATTAATTAACGTACAACAGTTTTATAAAGTTGGCTTCACAGTAAACAGCTCCGTTCTGGTGACCACGTGAGATACTTGCATTTTTTTATACGGGGAACTGAGCTCCTCACTCAGTTCTTGTGCTAGCTCAGCCCCAAAATGCACATTACCATAGTCCTGTAAGTGGTAAATCGAACTGAGATGCAGAGGGAGCATAAGTAAGGTAGAGAGGAAGGTGAGTAGCAGGAAGCCTAGATAAACTCCATGAAGAATTTTTGGTTGTGGAGTGGGTTTTTTGGGTTTTGTTGTTGCTGTTGTTTTGTTTGTGTTGGTTTGGGTTTTTTTAGAAACAGCATTTCTCCTCAGAGTAATTTTTCTCTGGCTTCTGCAGAAGGAGGTCAGAACTGGAGGACAAGTGAGCTGGTGCTAAGAAATAAGGAAATGCAAATTACTCCTTAATTTGAAATTTGGCTCACAGGGGCATATTTTCCTGTCTGTAAACCGGAATCTTCCCCCCTCTTCCCCATAAGAAAACAAGGTACTATTACTCACCCGTAGTACTATACAGTCCTGCAATAATCATCTTGTCCTGTGCATACATGCTTGCTACTCTTGGAAAACATTCTGGCTGGCAGGGGAAAAAAAGGAGGAGGATGTCATTCCTGTTCGGTGTCTTCTCAGTGAAATGGGCACTTTGAAGCAGAAATACTAAACAAGACTGTGCAGAGCTCAGTCAAATTTTCCTGGGAGGTTACAAATTTACTCATTCCAATAGATGCTCCCAAGCCACGAGACATAATACAGCGTTCACAGTGAAGCCTTCAGAGTCTCCTAAAGCTCTCCAGCTTTCTCTCATAATGCGGGGAGATAGCCGTGCTTCTAACGGTCTGCAAATTCACACCATTGAAAGGGCTGATGCAGGCAGCTCTAGAGGATTCAGACACATACTGCTTTCTTCTCCCACAAAAGGATTGCAGCTTGGGTGTTTCCTCACTGACAGCTGTAGCTTTGAGGCAGCTGGGAGGACAGAGTACTTAATCTGCAGAGCTCCTTGTGCCCTTGGGGCCTTACATGTTGAAAACATAAATCCTATTCAAACTCTTTTCCTCTTCTTCCTTCCCCCACCCACACAAAGAAGTTATTTTGGCATTAAACCTTCAGTTTCTGGACTGACCGTGTTAAGTGTTTTATATTATTCCAGCAAAGTCAAAAAAATAATGTGTTTTTGTCCCTTGGAGTTGGAAGAAAGTTTTTTCTTCAAGCTGCCGATCCTGTGATAATTTCCAAGTATCTGAGGGCCCAACAATGCTTACAAAAGCATTGGATGAATATATAATGGCAGATCCTTTGTGACTTGAAACAGTACTGAAGAGTAATTTCTCCTAAAGAGCACCCATTCTTTCCTTCATCCTGCCTAGAGGAGTGATTTTTAGGCATTTTCGGGAATCTGAAAGCATCATTTCATTCTCTTACTTGTTTTATGACAAGTTATAGTTTATAAAGTTTACAAGTATGCTTCATACTCAAGCTGAATTTCTGGTACGTTGATTACATCTGGTTGTGCTCTGTGGGTCTTCTCAGTGGGCAGAAAACCCGAGATCGATTACTGTGGGTTCTTTTAAGCCCTGCAGTCATCAACAAGACTGTTTTTTTGTTGATTTTGTTGTTTAGACTTTAAAAATGTATATTCGCATGAGATAACAAACAAGGAAACTCAGCTTATTATTTGAACCCCTGAAATAGAAATCTGTTCTCTAATTTATTCACCATAAATATTCCATATACTGTATTAAATTATAAATTGCATTTTTCATTTATAAAAGAGTAGCGAGACTTTCCTTGAAGCTAACTCTGTGATTTCAGGAGGAGTGTGTGCCTAGGGCTTCTACCCCACAGGTCTTTTCTCTGTGCCATCTTTGTCAGTTCCACGTACTTTTCTCATATTGTATGAAAGATCTTGGGTGATGTTAATCAGCAATAAGCGTTTAATCAGTAGGACTCACACCAGAAAGTCATAGAATTGGCTGAGAAGATCCGAGTCCTGCAAACTGTTGTCTATGTTTTGAAATGTGGAGGAAATTCCAGAGATTAGCAGAGTCCTGGTGTGGGAGTGGCGGTGAAAAAGGCAGCTAGTGATGGCCTTGTCAAATGTCGGCCTTTTTTTAGTCTGGCATACACCTCCGGAGTATGATAATGAAAAAGTATTTGGGGAATTTCAGTAATGCAAAGCATAAAAGTAACGCTCATCAGCGTGGCACTGTGAACAAGAGCTTCAGATTAAAATGAATTCCATTTCCTCAAAACCAATCTGTAGTTTCAATTAGCAGAAGGCATTGGTTTTGATTTGCTCTTGTAATCCCCTGAAGCTGTGGTTTCACAACGTTGCTGCTCTGCCAAGTATTCTGCAAGCGCAAGGCTTCCGAGGAATTTTCAGTCTCAGTACTGAGGTAATACACTGAGGTAATACAGTTCCCACCCCTGTTTTTAGTTTTTTACTGCTAAGTATCCCAGTGGAGGGGAAAAAAAAAATTCTACATCATACTAAAATAAATAAATACTGTCCTGGGGATAAAATACCAGGTGCCAAGGTGAAAGGATAGAAGCCAGGCGTATCAAACAGAAATGAGTAGTTCCAGTTGTCGATAAGGTTCATTGTTAAAAGAACTGTAAAGAAATAGAATCTATTTCTGATGTTATGTACCCATTAAAATGACCCTGTCGGGGAAGACACACATTAGCAGGATGTGTTTTTGGACCTTCTGCATTGGGAACTTCTGTGAAACATAACAGTCCGTAGGACAAGATGATTCCAGTAGTCTCGTCTGGCTTTAAAACACTATGAACCGTGAATCATTAAGGATGATGCTTCATATCACTGAAACTATGTTGGGTTTTTTGTTTTGTCTCTTTTTTTTTTTTTTTTTTTTTAGGAGTTTATTTTGAGAAGGTTTTAAAGAGTTCAGATACTTCCTTGTGGGTGAGGAACATTCAGATGTACTTATCTGGGATTGTGGTGACTTTATTTGGTGTGTACATGTCAGATGGAGCCCAAGTTCTTGAAAAAGGCTTTTTCTATGGCTACACACACTACGTCTGGTTTGTCATCTGTAAGTATCTTGTGGTTTTAGGGTCTTGTTACATTGTTTTGCTTTTTTAAACTATGATATAACTGATTGCATAAAGCTACAAATTCACTCTGACCCATTGTACCTTACTGTGTCTTGAGGTGTGGTTTTTTAAAAGTATCATTCTCTTGGAAATTATTCGCTTGTTCAATTTAAAATTGTGCTGAAACAGCAGTCTAAATGACTGAGTAGTGAGTAGATCATCTCCAAATGCATCCTAGCTAAGCTACTAGATGCCGTGTAGACATCCCATTTTGCTGAATGTTGCATTAAATCACCAACTGGGATGATGTAGCCCAAACAAGGAGTACACAAGTGGAGTAAAATGCATCGTTTCAGAAGTAACCTACTGCACCTTTACTAATAGAAACATGTTATCTGCTTTCCAGTTCTCGCCAGCGTAGGTGGCCTCTACACTTCGGTTGTTGTTAAGTATACAGATAACATTATGAAAGGCTTTTCTGCAGCGGCAGCCATTGTTCTTTCTACTGTGGCATCAGTCATCCTCTTTGGCCTCCAGATAAGTAAGTGCCTTTTTGCCTTTGATTTGACCGTACACACGTGTTTCCCTCCAGGCTCGCAGGCTGTACGCAGTTTGTACCAAAGCAGTCATTTATGTCTCCTTTGAATTTTTCTGGTTTTAACTCCAGGACTCCTATGCAGTAATGTATCATCCCTGTGGTGGTACATAGGGAGCCTGATGATTCTCTGCTTTCAAAGGCGTTCATGGTTTGTTCTTTCAGAGGCATTCTACAACCTCAAACGGAAAGGTTCTTTCCAATTTAAACAGCTTATGAGTTTGTACAGCTTTACTTGTGAATCACTTTCTGATACAGTTTAGTGTGGATATAGCTGTTTGCCTAAGACTGCTGTTGATAAGTTATAATTTCTTGTTGGTTTTAGTCCAGCCAGTGCCAAATAAATTCCTCTGCTGTTTCTGCAAGGGCTTTACGCATCTCTGTTAAGTTATACCCGCTGCTGCATTAACTTTTACCTTCCCTATTTGCTGTGGCAAACATCACATGAGAGTGGTCAAACAGCAGCTGGGGTCATGACTGATGTGGTGAATATTTTTGAGAGGAAACAGCAGATTGCTTTGGGCTGTTCTGCAACTACAAAGGATTCAGTTCTGTGTCTGATACTGGACACGGTAGCTCCTGCTCAGTCCTTCACTGTTTAGTTTTGAGTATTTTTTACTTTCCTACCATAATCCAAAGATGGTATGGTGTGATGGTGGAAAAACTAGCTTTCTGAGGTGGCATTAGTGAAATGAAACTTAAGGAAAGGAGAAGCTTAAGAAGAAAATCATCAGTGTTTGGCTGAAAAAGAGCACCTTAAAGCAAGTGATGAAAAACACAGCTAGTTTGAAAACTCACTTGGGCACGTTTTCTTGATGCTTGACACAAATCAAACCTGGACTGGTGATCTTTCTGTGATAGCCTCATTAATAGTATTTCTTAACCCTGTCTAGAAGTGGGAAGGCAAACAAAGTGTGTTAAGGCTACTTTAGGCTACTTTATCCCATCCACTGTGTCTTTATCATTGAGTTTATTGTAACGGAAGCCTGTCAGATGGCATCTGGAACTATTGCAGACGTTTCAAGCTCGCTTTTCTTACCATCACCACATTCTTGCTGATATGAGACTACTTGAAATGGTATGGGGATTGTAAACATTCAAGAGTTCCCAGTGACAGAGGATGTCTAGATTCTGTGAATTATTAACAGCTTGTTGTCCTTTTTAGTTTTGAGTAATTTTAATACTGTCATTCAGATATCATCATAACTTATATAGCTTAGTCTTCTGGAGGTTTCTTCTTATATGGAGGTGTTTATATAAATTATTTTGTCTCCTTTCAGCTGTTACCTTCTCCCTGGGTGCTATCCTGGTGTGTATTTCTATTTACCTCTATGGATTACCTCGACAAGACACCACAAAAATCCAGCCAGCAGAGACTAAGAGCTCAAAAGAGAGACTTGCTACCGTGTGATGTTGTTAAATGGACTTCAAAGAAAAAAAAGCATTTTTTAAAAATTGGCCTTAAGCTAGTCATGAAATGGTTTAAGTGTGATAGACTAAAAGCAGAAGTTAGTTCTGTTTTACATGTGAAGTTTCCAGTGGCTGATGCTGAGGCTACGCTACAGCTGAGGAGCTGGACGGGCATTTTATTTAAGGTGTTCTTCATTCACATCGGACAACAAAGAGTCCCATTGACAAAGAAAGCAGAATGAAGGAACTGAATACTCAACTGTATATAATGTACATAATGGAAGGGAAATTGGTTCTTTGTGTATTTGATAAACTGTCTTGCCCTTTGAGGGCAGAAATGCCTAAATGCTTCATAAAAAGATATTAAAAAGAGCAATTACTGCCAGCATTTTCTCTTAAACTAGATAGCAACTGCAGTTTGATCAACATCAAGTTTCTCTTCTAGGTGATACATATAAGATGAACAGTGTACTTCTCCGGTGTTTTTATGATGACTTAATAGTATTGTTCTCTCTCCATGCAATCAAGTCCTGTGTGTCCTGACAGAACTCCACCAGGAGTAACGGTGCTTCAGGCATCCCTTACCTAGAAATAATAAGAAGCAGCACTTGTTCTTTGGTTTAAAAAGTCAGAATGAAAGACTGGTGTTTCCCTAAGTTGCAGATTTTCTTTCACTTTTCAAATGTTTTTTTATACCTGCTGTAGCTGGTAGAGGGATCTTCTTCTATATGTTTTGTCAAATCCCAGTTGTATGGGGGAAGGTTTATATGTCTTCTTGTATCACTGGTTTAAGTATGAGTCAACTCAAAGTGTTGAACTAGAAGATTTTTATCTGTACATTTTATCTTTAAAACTTTTTGTGCCTAACAGAGTGGTGCTTGAAAAGAGTTCCCATAATTCACATTAGGCTTTGATTTAATTTGAGTGCTAACTGTATAATTTCAACCTCCTCTCTCATTTTCTAAGGCCTCACTCAATTCAACCCTTCCAGAAGCTGCAGTTCTGCATTAAGGGAAAACTGACTTTGGTGCTTTGGGCAACCCATTTACATTCAAAGCAGAGTCACAACTGTGACCAAGTTTATAACCTGGTTAGCTTCCTACAGCCATGAGTTAACCAGCTGGGTACCAGCTGGGTTTTACTTGAAAGTGGGGCATGTTAAACACAGCGGTAACAAACACGTAAATTCCGTTCCAGTCGGAGAGGATGCTCTGCTCTGCCTTTTGCCAACGGTTTTGTGCATTTGAACAGCATATCACCATAGTGCTGCTCTGGTGGGTCAAGGCTGTGGTGGTGGCAGGTATTGTCAGGCATTTCAGAGGCTGGAGCAGCCACCCTGCACTACCTCACTCACGACACTCTACCTCTTCAGCAGTGTGATGTCCCATGGGTGCCAAGCAGCACCTGCCATGCCTGACCCTGTGTACAGTGCTGAGGGAGCACTGCAGTTCCTGTTCCACCAGCTGGGCAACAAAATCTCTTCCCGGTCATCACACCAGCGTGACAGAGGAATGGGTGAGGAACAGGATGTGACAGAGTTGGCAGTGGGTCTTGGCTAATGTTACTGAAGGGGGAGTGCAGTACAACACGCAGGAAAAAATTCCCTGGCATGGTCTGACTAACTCTGTCACAGTATACAGTGTCCCTGTAGCTGTTGTACCATTAGGCCTAAGTACACAATGGCAACTGCAGAAAGGGAGAAATTTGATTGCTTAGGGCGGCACAGGTAACACCACTTCCTGTACCAAAGGATGTTGTATTTATAAGTGTAAATACAAAGCAGTTTTCTTTTATGGGAAATACCTGGTAGACTAGTGTCTTAAGTACACTACTCCTACCAAGTGCCTGGGAGAAAGCGATTGCGCCAACCCTGGCCTCCCCCAAAGGGCTGTGCCATGCACGCCCTTCTGTGGTCAGTAAGATGGAGTATACAAACCTGCAAGAGCAGACAGCGTCTTTCCAGACTGCATTAGCAATGACATACAGGACAGTATTTATGTTGTCTTAAAAAAAATCCTTTTACTAAGAGATGTGGCTTTACATTGCATACAGCCTCATTACATTTGAGTTACAGGTGTAATGCCAAGAAGTTTCATTCCGTTGGCTAGAACCGAGCGTGCAGCTTGAAAGAGACAGAGCCTTGCCTGGAAAACAAGAATAGCCATCAGTTTACAGTATTGCTACTAGTTCTCAGGACAGCAGTTAGGAGCAGCCTGTCAGCAGCGCATCCGCTGTCCCCATACAGGGCACTGGGATTTGGACACAATCTGAGCACTGACTAACACACCAATGCTGGCAGAATTCACATCAGCTGTTGACAGCCCATTGCAGTGTCAACAGAGGGCCAGTTTTGTCAACAAAGGGCAGATGGAAAGCCCAGTCTAGTACCCTCAGGGCACAGCAACCAGAGGAGATGCCTCCAAAAGAGCTAGCAATGACTACAAAGCGAAAATCTTTCATGTACGACAGGCTGCTTGCTGCAGCCTGAGGATACCGCTGGAATCCTTCCTCTCACTGTGCCTGGGTTTGAGGGTGTCAAGCAACTATGGGCTGCTTTGAAAAGTTCACTTTTCCTTGTCAATGCCTTAGCAATTACACATCTGGCTGTTTGGGAAGGTTTCTATCAACCTTGCTCCAAAAAAAATACTTCCTGAAACCTGTTGCAGTGTAAGATATTAAGAAATATTTTTTTAAAAGATAAGGAAGTGAAATTTTCCTTGTAGCTTGGGCTTAGTTTTTCTTCCCAAGAATGCATGGAACTATCTTCAAAGGCAGGAATACCTATAGCATCTAAGCTCAACTACATAGTGCAGATCCATCAACTCCACTGAAATTTTTTCCCTGCCACACAGCTCAACATTTAAATGTGATTTAAAATGAGATAGGTAACTGCTTTTGAAATAGATGAAAGAGAAAATAAGGAAGGCAGTGTAATTAGCGTATCATTTACTGAGGGGGTCAGACATTGCCTGGGAAATCAGTAGAAAATAATTTGCATCTATTTGGAACTGCACAGTAACAGTTGCCAGCCTGAGTGCTTTAGCTAGAACGGCAGTACAGACAACGTGGGGTATGTAGGTGGCAAGAGGGAGGAGAGTTTCAGTTACCTCCTAATTCTCTGTCTTCCACATAACCACTAAAGGAAACCATCAGAAATTAACCAGCAAGTTAAATGCTCAAATGTTTACTTTTAAAAAATTCAGAAGGAAAGATGACAAGAAGGAAAGAGGTTTGACTGGGTTTGGAGCTGTTGTCCTTATGGAGCATTCCGTGCTCCACAAGATGAGGTAGAGCAGCCCTTTCCCCAAGGCACAGCAGTGAACAGCAACGCCTGCCATCCCGGAGCAGTGCCGCCCACAGGAGAGCCTGTCTGTCTGCTCATTAGCCTGCAGGGGCATATTCACCGAGTGGTTACACAGCTGGGTTGGCAAAGCCCTAATGGATCATTCCTCTGGGATGCCCTACGCAGAATCCAGCCACGTAACCATGCTGTGCCATACCTGGGCTAGTTCAGGGGTGCTGCCTTTCACAGGAAGAGTTTTATGTGCCACAGCTGCGAGATGGCTGAAATGGAAAACAGGGTGAGAATGGTGAGAACTAGCAAGTCTCCTGACAAGAGCAGTGCTATGGGTTACAGAAAGCAGCAGAACTGGAAAAGCCACAATTGCAGCGTGCCAGAGACTTATTTCCAACAGCCTCTTTCACCTGGCTGAGGGATGGCATGGTTTTCTGTAGCCTGCATGTTGTCAGGGCATGACGTCAACAACTTAATGCTTGTAAAAAAAAAAACACAAACAAAACACCAAAACAATCTCTCCACTCTCCCCCAGAAAAACAAACAGAAAAACAAAAACAAACTGGTCTGGAAAGATCCTTGAGAGCCTGCATTGTCATTGCCAAGGTGCATGACTCTATACAATTTTCCTTAACTTGTTAAAGCCTTCCCCACACAGGCTCTACAGCTTCCTCCAGCAAGTCTACTCCAGTGTTTCACTGTACTGTTAAATCAGACAGGGCTCTAGGGGGAACCTCCCTATGGAGATCACACACGCAGTATGACTTAACAGCAATAATACGCTGTGTCCATCTCAACACATAGGCTGAGATTCATGGTTAAAAGGGGTTTGGACAAAGTTTCCTAGCTAAAATTTTGATATTAGAGAGCATATTATCAGCTCAGATCTGCTCTTTAAAATATGATTAGTCCAGCATGGTTTGGGGTTCAGACACTGGGTTACAGCCAAGTGATTCATTTTTCCTGAAAGCAATTCGTTTCTGAGGAGGCTCCTGGCTCCTTTGTTCCTGGTTCCAACCTTGTTCTCTACTATTTATTATATTATTTGCCATCGTACTTTATACCTTTCCTGTTCCACAGAAACTATCCCACAAATTTACATCTTCCCACTATTTTTACTCTTCAAAGCACAGCAGATGTGAGGGCTGCAGAGCCAGCTCAGGAAGACCTGTCCCTACCGGAGACGGACGCCAGTGTCAGCAATCACCTTACCTAAGTGTGAGGAGGTAGCTGACAATGTGCTTGGGTTGCAGATCCTGAGAAGATCGGTATAGGACCTCATCATACCTGTAAAGAAAGAAAAGAATTGCTTGATGTTAAAGTGGTAGGAAGGTGTACTCAGATGTAAGGCTCATCAGACTTGCTTAAGTCAGAACAAACACATAACCACAACTGCAGAATTGACAAGTCTAATCTTCTGAACCAGACCTAAGCCATGTAATTAGCACACAATTGATTATTTCTTCCTTGTTCACTTATTATTGAAGGAGATTGCTTCTGCTCCTCATCATGTGAACGCTGCGGATGGCAGAGCTCAGTGAGGCAGGCTATAGCAAAGAGAACACAAGAGCTATATTTGCTCCTGGAACATTATGTCTGGTTTTACATTTCAACATTAATTGTAAGTTCCTAGGAGCAAAAAACATGTATTAAATAACCAAGGCAGTCAAAATAGTCCCTTAGAGGATGTTGCCTTTAGTAAATGCAGCTTAGAATTTTAAGTAGCTAAAGGGAAT